AGTATCCAGTCCTTTATCTATTTCTAGTTTATGACCTTTAAAATCCTTATTTGTATAATCAAAATAAAAATTTTATATAAAATTAATAACATTTAATGCAAAAGCTTTCAAATATAAAAATGTTTTTGTTTATATCTGTTTATACTCTGGATCAACTTTTAAACCGACAGCCTCTTTGAATTATCACGCTTTTATACTCCCCTTAGTATGTATAAGCCCATAGGTTTTGAGCTAATTTATCCTGATGGGTGTAAGGAAATCAGTGAATGTATACGATTGGATGAACTAAAACGCCGATTAAATGTATGATCTATCGTATTTAATACATCCCTAGGACTTGGCTAAAGCCCTAGCACAATTGGTGGAGACCGAATCTTTACAAAATGAATCGTCTGATCAAGATAATTCCGGATTTTTCGGAATGTCTAATGATCACAATAAATACAGGATGAAAGGCCTGCTTTTGCATTTATGTACACCCCAATTCACCCTGAATTCCGACGTAGAAGTCAGGTTAAGGGTTGCAACTTGTATTTGCCATCTAATCAAATTGTATTGTCCTACTAATCCACTTGAAGGGCTTTCTAATGGGGCTGCTATAATGAAGGTTTGCTAATTTGTGACTAGCTTTAGGATGTCGTTTCATTTTTTCTTAATTGTATCTCCTTAATTAATAAATTGAAGAGTAAACATGATGCATCTTATCCCAAATTATACACTATACTCTCTGTAAGTTAGTCGATTATTACATATTATTTTAGACTTGCTGTCAAGTCGATGTTCTTCTCTGGTGTAATTTAGTAGACGATGGGGAAGAGCTCCTCCTTGAGTCACTTAAAGTCCTAATTGGAGTCACCAAGTTCGTATCTCTATAATATCTTATTTTAGAAACATCAATGTTTGGGCTTGGTCGAGTGAAGATAATGTCAAGCAATTACTTCTTGACGTACTTTGTCACTTGATTTCTCGTTCTGATAATTTGATCAATCAAGAGATCACAACATATTTAATGCGCTTTCTTATTGATCCGCTTAAGACCGCAAACCCAGAGCAATATAATTTTGTGCGTGATTTGGTAATTCGGACTTCAACTCATCTTGAATATCATATTCAAATGGTAAACCCCAGACCTCTTAACTTGATTAGCTTCTCCAAAGTTTTCTCGTAGTTACAAGTCCAGCGAGTAAAATAAAAGCAAACGCTTCAAAGCAAGATAAAAATGCTCACACTGTGGTTGACATTGACGAAACATCTGAAAAAGATGATTATGAAGAAGAGGCAGATAGCTCAGGACGGCCGGATGATACTCTAGGAGAGCATAGCTTTTTGCTTATTTACGCTTTACATAAAATTCAAGAAAGTCTCGTCGCACCGATTCTTCCGACGATAGAATTAAAATTGAAATCTCACAACTCTAGAGAACGTAAACGTGCATTTAGACTTCTTGCTCGCTTATTTTCGGAACCTGTATGTTAATTTTGTTTATCATTTCTTAGAGTTCAACTCTCTATCAAAAGTATCCCAGCCTCTGGGACGCCTTTCTTGGGCGTTTTCATGATATTAGCAGTGAGGTTCGAAGAATTTGTGTTCACATGGTGCCACAGTTGCTGAAAAATAATCCCGATCTTCCACAAGAGCGAATAAGGTCATCTCTTAAAGAAAGAGTTTTGGATCATGATGAAGGTACGTCTGCATGTTATCTCAAGCTCCATTAACTTCGCTTAATCTCACTTTTATCCTCTCAAGGTGTTCGCCTACTTGCCCTCAAAATTGTATCTATTCTAGTCAAGGAATCTCTTGACTCAATCTCTGACGATTATTTTACTGTTCTGAAAGATCGATCTCGCGATAAATCTTTGGCTATTAGAAAGGAAGCGTTGGGTGCCCTTGCATGCATATTTAAAAGGGCCTTGCTTTCTTGTAAAGACATGGAGTTGGCTCATACGCCTAACCTCTCTCAAGAACGTATTTCTACCACTTTAAACACGATTCTGCATCTATACTATCAATCTTCTACTGAGGACAAGTGCGTCATTCTGTTATTTATTCAATATTGAATCATATTATTCACACTAATTTTTCACTTCTGCAGAATCACCGTTGAAACTTTATTTAAGAGCTCATTAATTCCTTACAACTTTTCTACAAATGATCGAGTCAAAGCGCTTTTTGTATGCTATAATCTTATGGATGAAGCATCAATGAGAGCCGTACACGAAATGATGTCTAATCAATTATTGTAAGTCATGCATTTAATCTTAATCAATGT